ATATTCACATTCCAGCACTTAATGTTTTTCATGGGTGTGCATAAGCGACTTAGAGATTTGGCTGGATCCTACATTTCTGTTCCTGGGACACAAGCTCCACATTTATTCAGTGTGCGTGGTGTGACAGCACCCATCATTTGGGAAAGCGAGGCACCTTGAAGACCATTGCATGGGCATATGTTGATGCACAGTGACCCCTCTTGCTGGATTGGGAAATATATTCTTATGCCAGAAATGTGTTGTGTGTGTACACATGGATATATAGTTATTACAGCAATATACTGTAGTTTACAAGCTTTCAGATGAAGGCTTGAATAGGCAATGCCTTCTTGTCTATTTTGTGGCATTGCGATTTCACAAGTAGCAGCATGCCTGCTGTAGACCTGATTGTATACAAATACAGTGAGCGGGGCTGGTGAAGAAATTTGATGTCACATTTAACAGACATTGCCTTTCTCATGAATGAGTATAGCCACAGGGTGGCAGAGGTTTAGAATCAGAGTTTTCCTTATCCTAGATGGATGACTTTCCTAGGTTGATGAGCCCCATCTGCCTTGCGTTTCCCTCTACAGCTCCTGCAGTAACCGCCTTCTTAAACATTGGTGGTCAAGGCTGCCCAAGTCTTGGTCTTGCTGGTGTAGTCCAAAGGAAAGCAGAGTGATATACTTGGCATCAGCTTGGCTGGAAGGAGGCGTACAAGGCACCATCCAACTGTCTTAGGAACTCTACTCCATATTTGTGTAGGGTTTATGCCTTAGCCTTTTCTGGTCTCAAAGACATCCTGCAAGGCAGCAGAGGTTTAGGATCAGAGTTTTCCTTCTCCTAGATGGGCTACCTTCCCAAGGTGACAAGCCACATGAGCCCCTCACTTCCTTCTACAGCATGTGCAGAAACCACTTTCTTGACCGTTGGACCCACTATTGGTCTCGTCTGCTAGAACCTGTCTTCACATGCAGAGGAAGTCTCTAATTCACTAAGGGGTTGAGACCCATCAGCTACCCTCATCTTGTTTAGCCAGCCAGTTGAAGCCATTTCCTGGGGTGTGGCTGCTGTCACATGCTGACAGCTTCTAGGAGCCACAGGTGAGAGCTGAGTGGGCACCAAACTACCAAGCAGCAATATGGCGTGTCACCCACCAGAAGTACTACCCCTCCCCTAACACTCCATACATCCCAGACTTGAGCACAGCCAACACAAGTGAAGATTTACAAGTGCCCCATCATCTATCTCTCTCAACAATAATAAACATATGACAAGCCCAAATTTTATTATGTTGTTATAAACCCATTTCTCAGGGTTTGTGTTGTTGTGAAATCAGCTTCCAGGGCAGAAAACTTCTGCAGCAAAAACAGCAAAAAAAAAAAATTTAAAAAATTGTGGCACCATAAAGAACAACATATTTATTGTGGGCACCATCTTTTGTGAACCATAGTTCACTTCTTCAGAAACAAAGCTAGGACAATAGCGTTATCCCCAGTTAGTGGTGGGCTGCACAATCCCATTACTTTAAAAAGAATTTTCAGAGATTCCCCCTCCCCCCCATTTCATGGCCATTTAGTTCCATTCGCTCTTTGTCTCTATATGTAACACACACACTGAGAGAGAGAGAGAGAGAGAGAGAGAGAGAGAGAGAATAGAGGGTGACGCCTCATGTATCTGATCTGTGGGTTCTAATCTATGGAAGATTATGCCACAATAAATTTATTAGAAAACACTCTAGCCTGGCTTGCTTGCTTGCTTGTTGAGTCAGGGATGGTGATTCTGTGGCCCTCCAAATGTTGTTGGACTACAAATCCCATCATCTTTGACCACTGGCCATGCTGAATGGAGATGATAGGAGATGGAGAGCAACAACATCCAAGGGCCATTAGGTGAGTCATAATTAAAAGCCCACTCTTTCAGCTGTTCTTATCAGTCAGTTAATAACAGAAACATGAATGTTGTCTGCATTTTACTGTAAACTGATATCAAGTCATGCTATGACAAAACCATTGGTGTGCTTCCATGCTTATGGAGGGATCCACTCTTGCCCCCAACTCAATCTGTATCTCACTCATGCTCTACGTATATGTGTTTAGGGCAGGCATGCCATAATTACTTTCACCAGTACATTTATTTTCTAAATCCAGAAGGTTCAAGTTCCACATCAAATATTAATGCCTGTATTAAGACTAGGTTTGATTTCACAGCTAGTAGAAGACTGCCCTCTCCACCCTTGAAAACTTGGAAACTGCAGGAAAGTGCTTTCAGAAGCAGGACATTTAGTGCTATGGAAAAGCACTAAGGTAATAGAATCCCTGCAATAACATTTACCTTTTCATTCCTTAACAGCAAGCTTCATACTAAACGCACTTAATGCTCATTTTTGTTGGCCAGTTGTGCTGGGAGGGTGGGGCCAATGGTCTTAAAAGCATTGCTTTAGCCAGTGAGCCTGTTCCAAGAGATTTGAAGGTACTGAATTGGGAGGACAGAGCAGCCACATTCACATGCAGCTATTTTCCTTCCTGGGGCTTCCATACACAATGGAACCCCAATTAAAATGGCTTGGGAACATGTAAGAAAAGCCCACTGGATCAGGTCAACAACCCATCTAGTCTAGCATCCTGTTCTCACAGAAGCCCATAAGAAACCTGCATGTGGGTATTTGAGAAGAAAAGCTGAATTCCAGCAACTGGTATTCAGAAACATTACTGTCTCCCTCCCACCATGGAGATAGAACACAGGCATCATGACTAGGAGCCATCAATAGCCCTCTCCTCCTTGAATTTGGCTGTGAATATGGAGCTCCCTGCCTGCAAGATGTTCCCACACTGGAAACCACTTAGATCCACCAAGGCAGGGATGGAGAACCTATAACGCTCAAGGTGCTGTTGGACTACAACCTTGTTCATTGGTCATGTTAGCTTGTGGCCAATGGGAGTTGTAAGATCTGGAAAGATGCAAAGGCGTAGCTTCTCTAAAACATTAGTTTTAACAGCCATCCCATCTTCCCAGAAAACTTTGGTTGTAGTTCAGAGGGAATGGGAGAACCTCTGAGAATTCTCAGTATTTCAGTGAACCACCATTCCCATAATTCTTTGACAAGGGCGTTATGTACTAAGCTTGGATCCTAGAACAATAGGCAGGTAGGATCTTAGAATGCAACAAACTGCAGGAGCAGCCCAATCAGGCCCAAGGGGGAAGTCAATCAGCCTATTAGGCAGGTAGGATCCCAGAATGTAACAGATTGGCTTGCGGGAGCAGCCCAATCAGGCTGCAGGAGGGAAGCAGAATCAGCCAATCAGATGGGACCCATTGTGTAAATAATGTATATAAAGGCAGAGGTTTGGGAGGAAATTCATTTACTGTTTCACGAGCTGCAATAAAGAGCATGAAATCACTACGCGACTCCGAGCATATTTCAAAGGCTATGGCAGTTAAAGTGGTCTGCCCCACAATAAGTTGGCCACAAATATATTAAGACTGATCAAGCTTTCGATGAAGAGGCAACCACTGGTTTTCTCCTAGCATGATGTGGCTTGTTATCAGCTTGCACTAAAAATACTAATAGCATGAATGTTTACATCATTAAAATTCTGAAAAGTGTATCTGAAGAAGTGGGCCTTTAACTATGGTGCTTTAATATTTAATTTGGATTTCCTCTTACCACAGAAAATCCAGTACATAAAAGGAAATCATTATACATCCAGTCACTGCTGTTTTGGAAGCTTCTTATCAGATTTTTATTTTTAGGTGGGTGATTTCTCATATGTGGTATGGATGTTTTTGGTGAGTGGCTGTTATTGAGGAGCAGGTGTTTGTACATCTGCATATCTATATGCAGTGCTTGGGGGGGACGTAGGGGTACGCATACCCCTAAACATTTTGTGAATCTAATGGGAGAAGAAACTTTTTTTTAAAAAAAAATTATTATTTAGTTTCTTCTCTAGCATGGTGAATTGTCAGTTCCATTGCTACTCCTGAAGGCAGCCTCATTTTCTGTCACAGTGTTTCCCAAGTCTCAGATGGAAGCAAGCATTTAATGTGTGAAGTAGGAGTTGGAATCTAGCACGGTGATTGGTCAGTTTCGTTGTTACCACCTCCGATGGCGGCTTCATTTCCTTTCCTGGTGCAATGCATGTTCTTTGTACTTTTGTCCCTTTACTGTATTTATTTTCCCCGATTTGAACAATAAAATGGTGATTTTTCCTGAGTCAAAATGAGAGTACCCCTAAACATTTTTTTTAAAGAAAAAAAGCACTGTCTATATGATTTGTGGTCTTTGAATGAGAATGTTAATGCTGTGATTTTTTAAAAAGGCATAATGTATGTATGTTTATTTTTTAAAATGTAAGTTGCTTGGAGATTTTTTTGGTTGAGATTCCTGCATTGAAGGGGTTGGACGAGAAGACAATCAGGGTCCCTTCCAACTCTATGATGATGATAATAATAATAATAACAATATTTTAAAAAAGAAACCCAAAGAAACCCACCAAATTAAGATAGAAGTCTTCTCCCACACACCCAAAAAGCAGGGCTCCATTGTGCTCAAGATAACTAAGGTCAGGTAATGTTTGCTCTTGCAATCTTCCTGTGTAAGTCACATGAGCATAGGTACAGACAGACCTGCTATCCCCACATGGAAAAAGGTTGTGGAAGATGGAGACATAGTTTTTGAAGGGCTGGAACACACAGCATAGAAACATTTTCTCATTGTCCACTGCTGTAACAGGGATATACATATGAAAAGCAGAAGACTTAAGCCACGTGTGTTTGGACTCAAGCCATTCTCATAATTGCAACTGCACACCTCAAATAAAAATCATAATTTGCAGTTTACTTCGCTGCATCCAATGCTGAAATCCTATGCACATATATTTGGTAATAAATACCCATTGAAAACAGAGGCTCTCCATTTTAAGGATCTGGCTGAAGGATAGATACATGTCCAGAACCTTAGTGCAAGTGGATTAAGCAACAGAACTCAACAAAAGGGTAAAAAAAAATCCAGACTACAAATGTTGCTTGTTTCAAAGTAAACTGGAACAATTTATTTCAACATTTAAAACCAAGTTATTATTCATAATTTTAAGTAGCTGCACTAGCCTGAAGGATCCTTCATTGATTACTTGATAAACAGAATTCTTCTTCCTCTCTACCAAAAGATTGCTGTAACAATAACTTTTGGTGTTTAGAAAGTGCATATGAAGTAGAAATCAAAATGCTCTTGTCCATTGGTAGAAGAGTCATTTAAAGTTGGATTTCCTAAACAGAACATATGTACATCCTATTAAATCTGCTAGACACACTTGCTATTTTATGTCCCACATACGCTATTCCCAGCCGATAATATACTTACTGACAAGAAAGCTAAAAGGCACACAATGTCATACGGTATTTCCTGAGTATAGCTTCATACTGAGTAACGTGGCACAAATAAGGATACTTCTAAATGGTGCTTTCCCAGTAAGCAGACTCAAAAGGAATGAGCACTACTTCCAGGAAGAGGTATCTGCAAGTGAGGGAGGTAGCACAGCCATAGCCCTCTCCCAAACAGTAATCACTGTTTGTTTTGAGTATAGGGATAGTGAACCTGTGGCTCTCTGGACTACAACTCCCATCCTACACTATCATTGGCCTTGCTGTCTGTGGCTGATGGGAGATGGAGTGCAACAACATCTGGAGGGCCTCGTATTCCCTATGCCTCACAGAGACATAATGACTTTTCCAAGGTGTGGTCAAGTTTCATGGTCAAGTGGGGATTTGAACCCTCTCACCCAACTCTACTACACACTGAGTAAATTCAGAGCAAAGGCTCTAAGATATACAGCAGACATATATGCCGTATTTATATAGATGGACTCTGCTACAAGGTAAGTAACAAGTCTAACATAGTGCTAACAATCATCCACCATTTCAAGAATACCATTGTGTCCTAAGTCACAACACTAACTTTTCTTTTTGCACAAGATTTGTAATGCAATTAGATCGTACTCGATAATAAATAATAATAAACAAAGCAATAACTTTGAAAAATATAAATTTGCAAGATACACTTTGGACAGACAACAAATTATTCTTTATAGTTAAAAATAGATATGCACCTTTTATGACTGGATTGGTTTTAAGGTGTATACAATCAGTTTTATGCAATGGCAGGGTTGCATTTGATTGCCACTTGTGAAAATCTCCCAGTTTACCCAAGAGCAATGAAAGAATAGCCCCATAATAATGGTCTGGATTGATTTGTACATGACAGTGTCACCCTAGCCTATTTATTAGCAAAACATTCTCTTTCTACTTCAAGCAAAGGATAAACGATGCACTAATGGAAGTTTCATAAATTAATGCAGAGTCTTAATGATGTGATAAACAACGCCATTACAATTCAGAAGTGGAAAGAATAGGTGCTAAGCCTTAAGAAAACATTTGTGCTGAATTAGATCTCATCTTCCGATTCCTGGTCTCGCTCAGATGTTTTCAATAATCCAATTTCCATGGATGGAGTTTGTTTTAGTTTTGTGCGAACTATCCTGGAGAGGGGAAAACAAAGCAGAACCATTTGAGCTACATATTCACCCGGTTAGGTGTCAGGAAATCAACACCTATTTGATATCAAACAATGGAAGAGCCTTTCTGAATGAGAAACTTATATTCCTGGTTTGACTGTTTTCCAATTATATATCCTGACACAGTGGCATATATGTCTACAGGATACAACTATTCTAAAATATAGAAGAGTTTTCCCAAATGCACAAATGAATGAGCTGCCTTCAACAATATTTGAGAGTCATTTAAAGCAAAATCATATATGTCCATGCAGAGAGGGTACTTCTGAAACACTCACATATTGCTCTTTTTAAGATATTTGTGTAAAATAGTTAATAACCCCATTATCAGCTCATCCAGGGCACTTAGCTGATTACTAAATGACTTTTCTCCCTACGGTGTGGCCAATATAACCTGGTGACATCAGAGACTGGAAACTTTCATTAAAATGTAACAAATGTTTCATTTCATATAATTTTTAATTGAAGTTGGCAATCTTACCTTAGCTGTTTATATATATTTGTGCTTTGCACATGAATTGTAAAGTCCCAGTCATATATTCTAAGCCGGGTAGGAATCAAGTGGGGAGCTGCCTATTTTATATGGGATTACATAGTAACAATGTATACCCCAAGTCAACTTACCAACGTTTTGTCACACTTTGAAGTGCTCATGGATGGTGCCTCTACACAATCGTCAGCTATCCCCTCCTCAATCCCCCTGTACCACAACCTGCGCCATTCAGCAGAGTCCCTCAACCTTTGGCAGAGGCAGGAAAATAACCCTCCAGCAATGCAATGGGTGCTGGAAGTCAACTGATCTCTGGTCAGTTGTGTCACTACTGCTTACAGAGTGCAGAGTGGGAGTGTGAGGCTAGGATGCATGTGCTCCTGCTGGTCCATTTCAACCATTCTGACCTCATCCCTCACCCTCTACCTCCTGGTAGGCAGTAGTGACGCAACTGACCTGAGGGCCAGTGAGGGGCACCACTCTGCCACTCCTATCCTTTTCAATGGCATTTCTCTGGACCCGACCATATAATATTCTAGGGCTGGGTGCTGGCATTTCAAATAAACCCATGAGCAAAATGTTCATACGTCTTCCCTGATCTTAAGCTTTGAGAAGAGACAGACTACAGGAAATAGCAGTCCGTTGAACTCTGTGAGGCTCTCTCTTTCAGAAGAAAAATAAATGCACATTGTTCACTGCTACATAAATGACACAGAGGAACTTTGCTTATTTCCTAGCAAGGTTGTGAGAAAACAGCAAAGCCCACTTGGGTTGTGCCAGTGGTTGCAGGCTGACATATGGAGGCCAATGCAGTTTCGCATTCCTCCAGAACTGGAGTAGCCAATTTTGCATAGCTGAGAGTTTTCTTATGTTGAACAACGCTCTAGCATTTAGTGGCAAGTTAAATGAAGCTCTTCGGGATTTACTTACCAGCTGATTACAGTGTAATTCAAACCCATTATTAGAAGTGCAAATGCATAATGCCAGCAATAGCACATGGTGATAAACATGATATTATTGTGGTCCGTTTGGTTCCATTCTGGACCCCCACTTGGAGGATAAAGTACAAATCCAATCTGTGGTGTCAAAAAAAGGACATGTGGCAGATGATGGATATGTTACTGCAAAAATGTATAAAGTTTTGTTGAAATTTGAAACAGAAGAACTAATTAAAGAATGCATGATTAAATGGGCAAACAAAATTGGTTATAACATACAGATGGAACAGTGAGAGTATATGTGGACTAAAGGGTTAAAATTCACATTGTGTTATGATTTTAAAGATAATTTTTATAAAATGATGCATCATTGGTCTATATTTTGAAAGATGTAAGACACACACTTATATTTTTATAATAACACCAGCCCAAAGAAAGTAACTTCACAGTTACATTTTTGAAATGCTTCTTAAATAGAAATTTACAAGCAGAAGTAAAAGAAGATAAGTCTCAATCCCAAATCTACAGAGGAACACCCTGGAGAACTGAATGCATTGGTGAATTCTTCTATGGTACTGAACATATTTACAGTGGTACCTCGGGTTAAGTACTTAATTCGTTCTGGAGGTCCGTTCTTAACCTGAAACTGTTCTTAACCTGAAGCACCACTTTAGCTAAAGGGGCCTCCCGCTGCCACTGCGCCGCCACTGCACCATTTCTGTTCTCATCCTGAAGCAAAGTTCTTAACCCGAGGTACTATTTCTGGGTTAGCGGAGTCTGTAACCTGAAGCGTATGTAACCTGAGGTACCACTGTATTTAAGCTTATTTATGGAAAGCACTGCAAATGGGAGAGCTGCCTTTCCTTCTGAAACTTATTCTACTGTTGTGAACTCTTCCATCTGTCAAAGAAACTCTGCACCTTTTCTCTTTTTTACCTAGATGTTTTCCTTGTCATAATATATACTCTCAAACAAGAGTACTGCGCCTACGGAACTCATAACAAAGTGGCATGTACAAAGCTAAACACAGAAGATTTACAAAACAGTAGAGTTCAGAGTTTCATTTAACTCCCTTGCCCTGAGCTTTGAAGCGATAGTGGCTTCAATAATGGGGCAAGATATAATCCATCCCAGTAATATGAAAGTTTGCCAGAATGAGTACATTGTTGTGCCACCTCTATTCAATAGGAGAAATGGCTGGTTACAAACAATGCAGCTGTCTGATCTGCAGTGCAGTATTTGAAAGACAAATGAACAGCTCCAAACGTATCCATCTAAGAACCAGCCCTCCCATTTTTCAATCTCATCTTCCGGGCTGCTCCCCCAAGAGTGTCGTTTTACAGCCTTTCATTTTCTCCCCACAAGTATCTCAGATAGGCCAGATCCCTGTTGCAGAGTGGACCAGGCATGGGGCCTGATCGATAGGATCCCTATTGGGTTGGGTGGTCTGACTCCTCCTCTGACTCAGAGGCATGGTGTAGTGGTTAGAGTCTTGGACCAGGACCTGAGAGACCCCAGTTCAAATCTCCACAGCTGTGAAGCTCACTGGGTAACCTTGGGCCACCCACTGTCTCTCAGCCCAACTAACCTCACAGGGGTTGCTGTGGGGATTAAATGAGGAGGGGGGAAACCATGTGGACCACCTTGAGCTCCTTGGAGAAAAGCTGGGATATAAATGCAATAGTTAAGTACGTTTCTGTTGAATGCAGGCGTGAGAAAGAAGGCTTTTGCGTGAAGGCAGAAGATGATGAATGAAGAGGAAGGTGGTGGCAGCCTTCCTCTGTTGAGTACCAGGCAGCCATCAATGTAATAAAACACAATGCCCCAGAGTGACATAACCAGCTCCAATTTCAATGGTGACTGCTTCGTAATTAGAGGAACACCAGAAGATGGGGGCAGGGCAATGGTATCAGCTCCCTAAGGATATTGCGGGCTGCTGCTGGGAATTAACTGATTACGAAGGCAGGAATCATAGACTCGCTCACCTGCCAGAACCAGCTCCCCTGCAGTATACAAAGACTGGTTCGGAACATCTCAAGGACAATGACGCCACGGAAGAAGACCTCCAAGAAGATGCAAGCAGCTCCTCCAAAGACGGCCACTACAAGTAACTGATGAACATGGTAATCTAACATAGGTCGCCCGTGGATGTGGAAATAAAAGAGAAATCCTGGTAACAAAGAAATGAGAGGGTCTACTTTTGCTTCACATATTAATTTACTGAACAAAATTTCTGTTACAAACCGTAATATTTTGGTTTTGTTTCAAGTAACCTATGTGTATATGCATGCATTATTTTAGAAAAGTCAAGAAGTGCTCAGGTACCTAGAATTTCAGTAGGGAGAATCCAATATCCCACCTCCCTTGGATACTAGAGGGGAGATAGCTCAGGACTCCACAGGTCTGCGGTGCTCAGGGCCAAAATAGAAACTAGATGGGATACTAATTAGCAACCATGTTAGGTTCGTGCTCCCTCTCTGTAACTAATAATAGGTGTTGGGGACTATTTTAACTGGCAACACAGAGCAACGCAGTCCAGTGGGGAAGCGATTTTTATCAGGACTTGGGCAGGAGAGGAAAAAATAAAATATTCCCTCCATATGCTCAACACCCCCCCCAAACCCCCAGTTATGGCAGGAGTAATAATAATAATAATAATAATTTTTTTTTATACCCCGCTTTCCCCAGCCAAGGCCGGGCTCAGGGCGGCTAACAAGCAATAATAAAAACAAGTTAAATGAATACAACTTAAAAACAAGATTAAAATACAACAATTAAAATATTGAAACATTGAAATATTAAAATGCAGTCTCATCACAGGAGGAGAAAGGAAAAAGAAAAAAGAGAGGGAGGGAGGGAATCAAATTGGCTCCAAGCCAAAGGCCAGGCGGAACAACTCTGTCTTACAGGCCCTGCGGAAAGAAATCAGATCCTGCAGAGCCCTGGTCTGATGAGGCAGAGCGTTCCACCAGGCCGGAGCCAGTGTTGAAAAGGCCCTGGCTCTGGTTGAAGCTAATCTAACTTCCTTAGGGCCCGGGACCTCTAGGGTGTTGCTATTTATGAACCTTGAGGCTCTCCGTGGGGCATACCAGGAGAGGCGGTCCCATAGGTACGAAGGTCCTAGGCTGTGAAGGGCTTTAAAGGTCAGCACCTTAAATCTGACCCTGTACTCCACCGGGAGTCAGTGACGCTGGAAAAACACTGGGTGAATATGCTCCCATGGCAGAGACCCCATGAGGAGCCTCGCTGCTGCATTCTGCACCCGCTGGAGTTTCTGGGACACCTTCAAGGGCAGCCCCGTGTAGAGCGAATTACAGTAGTCAAGCCTGGAGGTGACTGTTGCATGGATCACTGTGGCCAGGTCGGGGAGGGAAAGGTAAGGGACCAACTGCTTGAAGCGGCAAAGGTGGAAAAATGTTGCCTTGGCTGTTGCTGTAACTTGCGCCTCCATGGAAAGGGAGGCGTCAAGGATTACACCCAAACTCTTAACAGAAGGGGGAAGTATGAACGTGAACCCCACTATGAAAGTTTTGATGTACACATTTTCCCTCTATTTATTTGTTGAAAGATTTATACTCTGCTTTTCAGGGCAAGACTCATCACAAGGCAGCTTACAGAACACCAGCAGCAAACAGATTGATAAAATGTGGACAAAAATATTGGTTGTGTCCCCCCAAAGGTTTTGTTCTTACTATATTTGTAGACATAATTTACATTAAATGCTGAGGTATTTTCATTTCATAAATGAAAATGCATGTACATATATGTGCTTTCCTATTTTTTAAATATTTTGGAAATATGGCAACCCTAAAGTCCATGCTTCTGTTCTAAACATATTGTTATCTCAAAGCAGAGAGCCACACTCATCAATAAGTGTGTTATGTCTGGGATCGCAGTATACATACACACCATGATGTCTGCTAAATTAAATTAAATATAAGGAGCCTTTAACCCTACTTCAAACCCCAAATCTTTAACTCTTCTATCCTGCCCTTAGTCTGCCTAATACGTAAAGATAGAAAGTTCATTATTCAGCTCCATTAATTCTCATTCTTGACCTTTCCTTCAGCCTCTCTTTGTCGCACCCTTTCATAGATGACTATATGATGTGCTTTTTCTAATGCAGCTTTTACCAACCTGGGGCAAAGCAGGTTTATTGGGTGTTGCAGACCAACACATCTGGAGGGTACCAGGTTGGCGAGTGCTGCGCTAATTGATAACCTTTCATCTTCTCATTTTTGTGTTAAGAGTTCAGAAAAGATTTTCCTCCATTAACAGTATGATACAGTCAACTCACCTTCCACAAAAACAGCAATCGAAAGCATCAACCTGTCCAAGGCTACTGGTAACACATTAGTGCTGTGCACCACAATGTCTACCAGCCCTGAGATGCCATAGAAAAGATACATGGTTGCATGCTGCCAGTTCATTAGGTGATCCCATTGTTTCTCTTCATAATTGTATAACTTCAGATGTGGCCCATCAGGAACAAACTGCTCGGCGATCATACCTGTGTGTGAAACAATGGCAGACTGTGTCAACAACCTTCTTATTCAATTGCTTGATTAAAGACTAGTTAAAGCCTTTTAGCATCACTGTGGTAATGGCAGCCTTTCTCCTTGCTTATTTTGCAAGAGCTGAAAATTCAGGTCAGTCCTTTACGCATACCTCTTGGTCTAGTCAATGCTACTGCCCACAACTCCATTTCATATCTTCTTTCTTTAGCACTATTAAGCATCTGGAACCACAGCTATGAAGCCCAAAAGGAAACTTGACACCATCCCGGTAATGGTCTGGTTGAGAGCCAATGAACTTGAAGCTCAATCCACAAGACTGGGGCACTGTTGGTGGGTGGTTCCCTAGACTGGATGGATGGGAGGCTGCCTGCTCTTGATTGGGTTTCACTCCCTCTGAAGGAATGGGTACACAGAATGGGGATACTGCTGGATCCACTGCTGTTGTTTGAGGCTCAGGTGGCCTTGGTAGCAAAAACTGCCTTCCATCAGCTTCGGCTGGTGGCCCAGCTACACTCCTATCTAGACAGGGATAGCCTAACATCAGTCGTCTATGGTGTGGTAACTTCCAAGTTAGATTATTGCATCATGATGAAGGCAGTTCAGAAACATCAGCTGGTGCAGAATTCAGCAACCAGGTTGTTCACCAGGAGAAGACAGTTTGAGCACATTATGCCAATCTTGGCCCAACTGCATTGGCTGCCAATTAATATCCAGGTTCAATTTAAAGTGCTGGTTTTGACCTATAAAACCTTATATAGCTCAGGACCGCAATACCTCAAGGACCATCATATAAACCGACCCAGAGACTGGGCAGAGGAGGAATGGTGGAGACCTCATCCAGGGAGGAGGAAGAGGAAGACAATATAGATTTACAACAGGGGTTTGTGGGAGGTCACAGCTCAGAGGGGAAGTTGGGACATCATGGGAGAGCCAGAGCAGAAATTGGCTGACACGTTGTCCCTAGAAAGCATTCCAGATCCACCATCTCCCAGAACCTGGTGGGCCTTAAAAGTAGGAGAGCAAAGAGCTCAAAGACAGAGGGCACTTAGCGGCACCCGTAGAGGAGGCAATGAGAATGATGAATGAGAAAGTGGGAGAGACTCACTTGGAACAATGCCATTATCCAAGAGGCTGGGTTCTATAGCCTCTCTCTGTAGACTGTAAGAAACTTTTCCTTGTCTTTATACTTTCCTGGGCAACCAGCCGGGAGCCATTGATAGCATCCTGACACCGTGTCATATCATATGAGGCCTTTCTTTGTATACCTCCTCCATGTGAGGTCTGGTGGGCAGAAATATGAGAGTGGGCCATTTCTGTGGACGCCCTCCACTCGTGGAATGCTCTCCCCAGGGAGGCTCACTTTGAACATGGGACCTTCTACACAGAAAAAATATGTTCTGCCACTGAGCTATGATCCTTCTCCAATTCAATGACAGACAGAATCCACACTACAATTTGTTTTACTATTAATGCATATTGTTTCAAAAATAATCATGGTTTGTATTGTTATTCATGAAGACCCAAACATCCTCAATCTTAACCATTTTTATTTGGAAACACTGTTAAAGAAAATCAACTTACCAATAAGAGCGAAGGAGGCTTTGGCTATGCCTTCTGCTATTTCTAAGCGATGAAATCCTGCCTTGGAACCAATGGAAGCATTCTTTTTCCTTCGACAGAGGTACTTCAGTGGATATTTCACAGACCACCACAGGCCAAAGATAAGGAAGAAACTCCCAGGAAGTGCATGGCCTTTAAAATTTGCCATCTTTTCCTACTGCACAAAAAGACACGGCCAATAAGTGTTCTTTAGTAAAGTGTTCCTGGGAGAAACCCATTACTTGCAGCTCTAATCTAAGTTTCAGTCTGCATATAAACATATTCCTGCAGGAGGTGGCTTTACAACATTTGCTTGTCACGTGGATCCTCATTATGTTGGACAGATGCAGCCTTGGAGATGGTGGGGAGCCTAGTGTTATAATTCTTGGAAGATCTGAGCTCTCCTTCAGAGCAGGGGTGGAGAAGCAAATGCGGCTGGGTCTCCTACTCTCACCAGCCCAAGTCAGCATAACCAGTGCTAGGCTGCAAGTCCTAGAACACCTGGAGAGCCACAGGTTCTTCACCCTTAGAATAATAGAATTGTAGAGTTGGAAGGGAACCCAAGGGTGATCTACTCCAACCCCCTGCAATGCAGGAATCTCAGCTTGTATTAAAAGATGTGTGCATATGCACTTCTCATTGAAATTCCAGATTCCTTTTCATTCCTTCTCAACGCTGCGATCCAAATTCCCTTTGTACCAGGCTCGGTTTTGTATTTTATTTTCATAGCCAGAGCCCCTGTCAGTCTTGACTGGCCTACAGAAAGCCCTAGGCTGTTGCAGCTATTTGCCTGCCCCACCACCTTTAGCTGCTATAAGTAGCAGGGCTGTGGATGCTGTGGTGCCCCCCCTTCAGCTCCATGAAGCTCCCCCCCCCCCATGTTCTCTAACTGTGTTTTGGACTGCAGCCTAAAGCTTCTAATGAGCTGAGCAGGTCCTTGAAAATTGTTACAACATGGAAATGGCTTGTTAAATGGAAAGTAAATGCAATTAAAGTGTCTGTGAACATGCAGGTTGAGTGTTAATCTTTAACGAAGATTGTCAGGCTCAAAAATCAGCATTTTTCGCTTTTATTGCTTTATGGCCGCTAGCTATTTACCCTTGACCCTGATAGTTGGACCCACTGTCCCTATGAAAAGGCAGCGCCCACAGCAAAGTTGCTGGTAGACCAAAGAGGCAATATTTAGAGGCAACATGCAAAAAAGAAAAGCTAAGCAAATTTATTTTACAGCGGAACACAACAGCAGCTGATTCACCACCCAGATTCAAATTTCCCTACTGAAAAACAATTGTGACTGTATTGGTGAGATATGCCCTCTCTCACGACTGGCTAATTTTTGCTTTTTTTAAAGAAAATGTTTGCACTTGGAGACATGGGGAAGTTAAACAAGAAAAAGATTTTATTTTACAACAATGTTAATAAAACAAGAGATGCACCAGGAGATGGAATTATTTCAAGAAGCATATATATGTAAAATTCAGTGGTAGTTACAGGCTTCTAAACAAGATGATAAATGTGCAACTTATATTTTCTTCTGTTCCTTAAAATAAACACGGAGGTGTTACAGCTTAGGTCTTAAAGCTTTGGTTCTGAAACAAGGTAGTACTTTCTGTCAGTCCCCCAACCTTCTATAAGTCTCCCTCCTGAGCATGGGTGTAGCTAGGATTATTGTTGGGGGGGCAGGCTTTTGACAGGGGGGGCAGAACCTCAGATTTGCGTTGATTTTGATTAATTTAGGGGGGGCAGCTGATGTAGGATATATATTCCTTCTCTTTAACAAATATTTTCTTTGGTCAGGCTTGAATAGTCATACCCAACATACATCTAGGTTTGCTTTGAATGGTCAGGCTTTTCTTCTTCTTCCTGTCAGTAAATACCCAGAATAGCAAAAAATATAAATACATCCCTGTTAGTTTACTATTTTAGCCCAGGAACACATTTGCAGATTTATCTGAAGCAGGGAGGGTGGGGAGATTAGTAGCAAAGTTCAAAGGCACTCCTCACTATAACCAAGATTAAATTGAAAGGGAATATTTGCTGTGGTGACGCCACAGCCATTTTATATATGTTCACCTTGTGATAACCACAGAAACGTCAACAACATAAAACTAACAGGCACCATTTTACTTGAGGAAAGGAAATTCCTATTTCCAAAAACTTGAAACCCTCTGCTGCATTTGCTGCAAACCCCATTTACCAATTCCTCTCTACTTTACATTTGTGGAAGTCCAACCTAGCACACTTTTCAGAAGGTGCATGAGGCCTCTCTGTTTGAGCTGGTCTTTGGGTCCAGGTGTCAGCTGAAGAAGGCTGGGAGGAAACTAGTTAAACTAGAAGAAACTCACTGATTTGTTTACTTGAGTTTTCCCCTTCCCATTGGGGAAGTGGTAAGCTAAAAATCTAAAATGTGTGTGTGTGCATGTTCAGCTCCAAAAGATGTGCATGTTCCCACATTCCAGTTTGGACGCCCTCCCATCACATGCCAGAGGTGGACTTGGTCAGAGGCAAAAGTAGGCCACAAAAAGTAGGCAACAGGTTGGTTTCTTCACTTTCACATACCTTTCTCTATTCTCTCTCCAGCCAAGCAAGAAGCATTATTAGCATTCAAGGACACATTCCAGCTAGGCAAAAAACACTCAACGAGGGTGCAAAGCAGAACAGTTGAGGGGTGTGACTCATGAAAGTTTGTGAGGCTTGGGGAATTTCGAGGGCATTTGACAGATAGGTTGCATTTGACTCCCGAGTCTGAGATTCCCCATCCCTGAGTCACAAATGGCATTTATTTGGAAAGTTGAAATGGGAACACTTCAAAGCCTGTCTGCATGATTGATATACAATCAAAACTCGGTTGTTTAACATAATTCATTCCAGAAGCCAGTTCGGCTTCCGAAATGTTCAACAACCAAGGCACAGCTTCTGATTGGTCACAGGAGCTTCCTGCACTCAAGCAGAAGCTGCGTCGGACATTCAGCTTCCGAAAAATGTTCAAGTACTGGAACACTTACTTCTGGGTTTTCAGCATTTGGGAGACGAAACGTTCCAAAATGGAGATGTTCAGGATCCGAGGTTTGACTGTACTACTGTTGTCTTTATATGTAGCAATGTTTTTCTTTTCTTTCTGCTAGCTAGCTCTCCTTCCCTTGGTTTTTGATCTTTCTGAATGCCATTGAATTTATTATTTGTCACAATAGGCACTGCAGGTGCACAGACTAGGCAGGAAAGCTGCCCCCTGTGCCAACACAACAAAGGCAGCCAGTTGATGTATACTGAGCCTACAAACAGCTTGCATTCAGGAAGCAGTTATGAATGATGAACACCTTTAGTCATTTTGACATTTTCTTTTTGTGCCTGTTCAATGGCATTTGGATGTTAAATATTTGATAAGTCATTCTGTGCTTTAAGCATCTTGCAAATCACTTTGAGATATCACCAAGGCAATTAGCAACCATAATAAACAATAATGATTGCAGTTACAATGAATTCAAACGAACAACAGCACATTATTGCAATGTTTAGTAAACAAAAACATGGGGCTCAAGAAGGAATAAGAATCTGGTAAAAATGCTGAGACAAATTCCATTTCGCTTATAAACATGCACAAATCACAAGATCAACGTTCATGCTTTTCCTGCTCCCAAAAAGACTGTTGGTGTAATCTTAGGAATGTTTACTCGAAAGTAAGTCTAAGTGTGTGGCTAACTTCCAGATATATGTGCAGAACATTGCAGGCATGCAGCGCAGTCCTACATGTGTCTACTCAGAAGGGAGCAGGGTGGATAAAAATCAATGATATAAAAAATAATAAAAATCCAAAAAAATTGATTTTTAAAAAATTTAAATCAGATTTTTTAAAATTTAAATCAGATTTTTAAAATAAAATGCTTTTGGAGGAAAAATATTTCTAAAGATAGTTTTCTATTTAAGTTACATCATAGTCCAAAGGCTATTCATCAGAGAATAAGGATTTGTTTTAACTGTTTCATGTGTCTAAGTTTTTATATATATATATAAAAAATCATTTAACCACATCAGTTAACAAACATGGATACATAAGCTATAATGTTATTGTTTTAGTTAAAGAAATTGTTATTAAGCAGGGGACCACTACTACTAGAGCCCTTTCCCCCGTTCTCATCTGATTAGGTAGAGCACTTGGATTAGGGCCTCTCAACACTCATCTATGCAATGTGGAACAACTGATGATCAAATAGGTAGTCTCACATTATCACCATGAGCCTCCTCTTCCCATATCCAGCAGACTGGACAGCCTAAAAAGGAACCCCACAATTGTCCTCTTGCTATGCACCATGCCGCTGAGACAAGTCACAAGCCTCAGCCTGTACAGTGCAAGAAGAAACAATGAGGTAGAAAGTAAAGTGTCAAAGGCTGCGATGGGTGCCGGCACAGAAACAGCCAAAATTTGTGGGCCAGAAGGAGAGAAAGTGTATGCAAGCAATCTGAAGGAAATGTTGTGGTCACCAGTCTCTGGAAGAATCAAACTGATAGCACAAATTATGAGGTGTAATATGTGCCCTTTGTTCCTTTTCTGTGCCAGCTTCGTTTATGGTATTAAAAGACCTTGCAATTTGCTGTGTAAACCTTAGAAAATGTCAGACTCAAAATGGCAGAAAACAAAAGTGCTTTTTAAGGAACTGATGACTCCAGTAAGTCTCTCAGACTTTCCTTCTCATTTTCTGGCTATCCAAGCAGGTTTGTAAATATTGGCAGAACCTTACAGTACAGGCATCTTTAAAAACAGAATGTGCTGTGTTAAATCACTGTAGAACAGAAATAATGAGGGGTTTTGTTTTGTTTTGAAATAACTTTCCTCTTAGATATGGAGCCAAAACTGAATGGGGAAAAAATATTGTATGGAATAATGTTGTCTTCTGACAAATAAATGTTATCTATCTAAAAATAGTGTGTGTGCTTCTAACACCACTGATAAAAAGTTACTGTGAAACATATATTTTACAGTAACCTTTCCTTAGGAGAAAAATATACACTATTTTGGGGGAAATACATTTATCAATGTTTGACTTGTCTCCAAGCTCAGGGGCACATCAAACACTGGAACAATCTCTTGTCACTGTGCATAAATGTTTCACAATCCCTATTCCTTGAAATCAGGAAGCGGGGTAGGGCAGTGGTTAAAAGAATGAGCTGGAACTCAGCAAGAAATTCACCAAGTGATCTTAAGTTAGGTAGCATTTCTCAGCAGAATTCCCAATTATTTTATGATAATACTGGCTTGTCCTTCAGAGATGTTGCATGAACTGATCTTTATATTACCTAGGACAGGAGTGGGGAACCCTGAGCCCACCAGCCAAATGCGGCCCTCCATGTCTCTCCACTTGGCCCTCGGGATTCTACCCAAACCACACCTTCTCTCCCAGGCCAGACTTTCCACCTTTCTCAAATGCTTTTGACAAGCTGAATTCCGATAATGTCTCCTGCTTGCCTGCATAGAGAATACAAAGGTGTGTGTGTGTGTGTGTGTGTGTGCAGAAACTAGCCTACTGTGCAAAATGTAAAATTAGCATTTATTGCTCCACCCACTTTTGCCTCTAGCCCCCCACACCATTTGCACATGGCCCCCGGAAGGGAATGTGGTTGTCAGCTGGAAAAGGTCCCTCACCTCTGCCCTGACTACATCCCTGTGGTTGGACAAAACTCGTTCTGTATGGGGACTAGGACCACTGGGAGGAAATGCAGGGAAGCATTGGGGTGTCGATAAGAATTCTGTATCCATGTTTTATCACATTCAGGACCAGCAATCCATGGTTGCGTGCTGTAACACGTGAACAAATCTTGAAGATGACCCCAACCTTATTGTATTCAGTTTCCTTGGGGTGAGACTTGGTATTCTCCATGGGATTCTGGAACCTATTTGGATGCTGCTTCTCAGGGTATGTAGGTTTGTGCCATTGAGGTTTTGTCTATAATTTCTGGCTTTCCCTTGGTATTGGGAATTCCAAAAGGACTGGTATAGCGAATAAGGTGTGCCACTTTGAATACTTTCCTCCCTCTGTCTGTGTGATGAGCACCTTCCTCTTGTCTTAGACTCTGTTAGGATATCCTTCAAAGCATCATCTCTGAATACACTTTGAATGGGGTGTGTGCTTCTTAGTGTTTCAGCCACAGAGCCTGGCATGCCACCATTTTTGTATCTATCGCATGAGCAGCGAATTGAATCATATCCAAGGTTGTCTCTGCAATAAACGTTGCTGACTTAATTAACTTATGGAGTGTTTTGTCTCACCCTGTTTTGAACTTGCTGTGCATTTTTTGTAAGATCCTCCAGGCAGGTAATGGATGTTCTTACGGAATTTGAAGATGTGCAAGACGCACGCATGGAGAGGGCAGTCACACTGTGGACCTTCTTAAGAAGAAGTCAATGGATCATCTTTAATGGGTCTAAGGTATAAAATGTTATTAGCCAGTGGAACTGACTTCCTATATTCCTACAGCAGAGAATGATGCAGCTTTAATTTGAGCAATTATCTCAATTAACTAGAAGCCTATAGCAGAGGCACCCTATGTACTCTCTTTCAAATCAGTGAAGGCGGTGAAGGGATGAGCGGGATATAAATAATAAATTATTATTATTATTATTATTATTGGTCAGCAGTTAAAGAAGAAGAAGAAGAGTAGTTTTGATTTGATATCCCGCTTTATCACTACCCAAAGGAGTCTCAAAGCGGCTAACAATCTCCTTTCGCTTCCTCCCCCACAACAAACACTCTGTGAGGTGAGTGGGGCTGAGAGTCTTCAGAGTAGTGTGACTAGCCCAAGGTCACCCAGCAGCTGCATGTGGAGGAGCAGGGAATCGAACCCGGTTCACCAGATTATGAATCTACTGCTCTTAACCACTACACCACATTTGTTTTATTTCATTAACCTCCACTTGTGTGCACACCGCTTGTGCAGCTGAGTTTCATTGCTCTTTCCAGGGCGGACAAAAATCAATGATTATTTTTTTAAAAAAATGATTTTTTAAATTTAAATCGGATTTTTTGGATTTAAATGAGATTTTTAAAATAAAATGCTTTTGGAGGAAAAATATTTCTAAAGATAGTGTAAGTTATTATAGTCCAAAGGCAATTCATCAGGGAATAAAAAAATTGTTTTAACTTTTTCATGTGTGCTAAAACTCAGTCTAAGTTTTTTTTTTTAATTAAAAAAATCATTCAACCACATCAGTTAACAAACATAGATACATATGCTATAATGTTATTGTTTTAGTTAAATAAATGGTTTAAATTGTTATTAAGGAAATGATTATTTTTCTCCTTCCAACAGCAGAAAGGTTGTCCAAATATAAGCAATCATTCCATAATTATCTGTCTATGTATTTCTAATAGTATAACCAAATCAGTAATTTTTGATATAACTGTAAAAACTACTCTGAAAATTTATTATTCCAAAAATGAAACCTTCATCTGGTTGTAAATATTAAGATTATACTAGCAAGTATGAATCTTTCTGTAAAAAAGATGATTTAAATCAAGTCTTACTGACTAGTGATTTAAATTGTGATTTAAATCAATTTGATTTCAATCGAATCCACCCCGGCTCTTTCTTTTTCTTTGCAGGGTTACCTTACTCAATATTCCACATTTGGCAACTTCTGTTGTTTCATTGCTGTTGCAAAAGCAGAAAACAATAGTCTGCATGTGCACTGGAAGGAGGCACACTGCAAGCTTTTTAAACAAATGTTGAAATTTGCAAGAGGCTGGGTTGCTTGACAGGAAGCCACATGTGCCTCTGGTGACAGAGGAGTAAGATAACCAAATATCAAAACATGAGAGGCATGTAATGACTCTCTTGAAAATGGCAATGGGAATGTTTGACTTCTTGGGAAAATTTGACTTCTTGCACAGAGCCATCACTTCATTCTTCCTCTTCTACCACATGGAACTCTGTTGGGTATGAAGTATTAGCCTGCAACTGAAGCAAAGTATCCCCATTCCCATCAGCGCTAGCTAGAGAAATCTAGAATGGAGTAAGAGACTCGGTGCCCCCAGTAGGGAGAATTGTAGCATGTGGCGCATTATGGCTGGAGAGCTGCTTATGCATCGTGGGGGGGGGGGGTGTCCTTGTATTGGAGATGATAAATGGGCTTAGTTAATAAGAACTTCTTTAATCTACTCCAGAACTTGAAGAGAGAATAAGAAGCCCCTTGCATTGCCCAGTTGCATATTTAAGCAGAGACGCCGTAGCATATCCTGTCTTGTTGAACCTGCGTTAAACAGAGGATTGGTTCAGCTAGACATGGGCCAGGCAGAAGACAAATCTACAACAATTGGTAATATCTCAGCAATTTTCATGAGACTGGCAAGGGATTCCAGATTCCCAGTAGTTTAACAATGGCAACAACAAAATGGCCCCCTACACACATGCTGAAAAGCTTTAAGAATCCCTGATCTGCAGAAACTCTGGGGTAGATTTTGCATGTCATCCCTAGGCAGCTGCCCACCCCAATCAAGTAAATAAATAAAAATACTTAAGTAACTGAACAATGGCATTGCAGTTAGCTTGATTCTTCACACACCCCCAACATAAATCCTGGCTACACCCATGCCCCCAAGCCACCATTTTGCAGCTGCCCACACCTGGAGCAGATGGACTGAAAGATCCCTTCCACATTTCTATAATTCTCCACAGTAAAATATGCAACAGTATCCCTTAAGGGCTGGTGTAGATAACAAGGACATGACCCAGAAGGCCTACATTACTTAGTACTTGCATTAATTTAGACAGCCATCTTTCATGTTGCAGACTTTGTTCGCCATTTTCTCTACCACCTGGAATATTTGAATCATATTGGGCAGCATGGCTGTGGCAGGGACGATTCTGTCTTAGGGAACTAAGTTGTAGCAGCTTTTCTTGACTTCCATGACTTACTTTTATGAAATTCATAAGGGGAAACTTTGCTTTGTAGAATCACCTTTGGTATAGAAAGCATGCTTTATAGGTTAAGATTTAATAACAGTAACAAAAAAAACTATGCTGAAATATCCTATTGTGGGGCGATAATATTTTGGGGTCATATTTTCAGTCGGAAAAAAGGTGTTTCCAATTACTGGGAGCATTCCTGTGGGTCATAACAATACAGGCTAGCATATAAAGGAACAAGCAAGCTATAGACCTGTATCTAATATTCTGTGACATGCTGTATTGTATTTACACATAGATCAGTTGCCATCAACACTTGACTCATGCTGAAAATATCTGCCGTGCTACCAGAATAATGAAATGTGTTTTTTAAAAATAAAATAAAAAATGGTTAGATCACATCCTTGTTGCTGTTGTTGAAAAACAACAACCCATACTGGTCTTGAAGGCAAAGGAGCAACTAAAACACGTTAGTTAATCTTCAACAAGTTTCCCTATTTATTTAGGCACACTGAGTGTTTCCCACCAAGCCCCACAATATATAAAGAATAGAAGGCAGGCCAAATAACAGCAAATATGAAAAAACTATTCTATACACCACTCTCCCTTGATTCCGCAAACTCCGGTGTAGCGGGGAAGGGAGTCGACTTTCCAGGAGCCACAGAGAAAAAGACAGCAGCCGGCGGGAAGTTCTCCTGCACAGTCCCCAACAAACTGCGCCCATGGTGCGAGAAAGGCGTTTAACATTCATTTCGACGGGACTTGCGCAAGAGAACGTCCCGCTAGAATGTGAGAAAGGCTTGAGCGGAAAGTTTCCAGCGAGAGATGCTCAAAGACGTGCGTCGACGTCGCTGCAAATCACATATAAATGCTTTTCCTACTCAGAACTCCATGGGAATCCAGTTATTCCCAGGTAAGCGCAGAACTGCCCGAGTAGCGCTAAACTCAGGAAAGGAGACTTTTGCGGCGTGAACGTGCTCAGGATCGGGCAGCGAGCAGACGGGAGAGATCCACTCCGGAGCAGACGGGAGAGATCCACTCCGGAGCAGACGGGAGATCCACTCCGGAGCAGATGGTAGAGATCCACTCCGGAGCAGACGAGAGAGATCCACTCTGGAGCAGACGGGAGAGATCGACTCCCTCAAATCTGTGGAAACGGGGGCGGGGGGGGAGAGAACCACGCAAATACAGGGGCTAAGGCTTACCGAACTTGGTCTGCTTCTTTGCAACTTTTTTATGCAAAATGGTCCTTATTGTCCCGTTTGGGAACTTCTGAGAATCATTTAACCCGCGGCGCTCCGGCGACTTTCAAGGATGCGGACGTGTGGGTGACCTCATCCCTCCTCAGCAGCAGCAGCTACGAAAGGCTGGAGGCGATCGTCGTCCAGGAAAGATGCATCCGCGCGGCGGCTCCTCCCCGCTCCCATCCCGCCTCCTCCCGCTGCCCAGAGATGCGCCTCTTCGGGCCAGTGGCGCCGCTGGGACAATCAAGCCGGCGCCTTCTCCCTCTCGCCTCCGCGCCCGCCTCCCAGCCGCGTCCCATTGGCCCCTTCTACCCCCTCTCGCCTGCGGATGGGCTGGAGGAGACGTCCGTCTGCGAGAGAGTTCCCCGCCTCCCTGCAGCCGCCCTCTGCTGGGGTAAGAGGGGCACTGCCTCAGGGGCTGCAGTGATGTGGCACCGAGGGGAGGTGGCCAAAGGCAGGGAAGGGGAGAGACTGTCCCACAGGCGAGATGGGCACAACTGGCGCCCACTGGCCCGACTGGGAGTCACGGGAGGAGAAAACGAGGGGTGCTCTCCTACCAAGAGTCAAGCGAAGATGTTCTCTCCCTCGTTGTGGGCACTTTTGGGAGTCCCAGAAGAACAGCCATTTATTTCCTTTGTAGGAACTCCTGCTGGTCTTAAGAAATTGAGAGAGAGAAAGCGCAGCCCTCTGGATTTTTCAGGAGGACCCTTTAAGCAGCAATCGTTTGGCAAACTTCCCTGGCCTGATAGATGCCAATTCAATTCCTTTACTGTATTTGGTTCCAGGTATTACTAAAAGGCTTTTGTTTTTGCAGAGCTGCACAGCCCCAGAAGGAAGAAGACCCCATTAAAATTGGTCCTTATTCTCCAGCACAGGGAAAGGGTGACCTCTTCTCTCTTCTTGAATCCATCATCCTCAGAGGCTTCTGTTTCCTGGTTGCAATTAGAATTTTTTTAAAAAATATTTTTTATTAAATTTTCCATTTTAACAATCCAATCCAATCACATTAAATATTCCAAATTATACAAATACATATCCTATAGTCCAAATATTCTGCCAAATTATAATTTTTTGTTGGGACTTCCCATGCTTCAAATTCGGTGGGGCTCTGATCATCTTATATCTCCACTGCCTTGAGTTTCCAATAGTTCCTTTAAATCTTCCTGTTGATACCCTTCCTTCTTTCATGGCCTCTGAGTTGTTTCCACAGGCGAGTTGAAGTAAGCAATGATGTGCTTCTGTGTGAAATTGGTATGCTTGACTCTCCTATTGCAGCTGGTAAGCCTATTGTTTGCACACTTCTTCTTCTTCTTCCCCCTCCTCTTCTTCCTCTTCTTCTTTTTTGTAAAAGAGTAGTTTTTAAAGAGAAACAATAGAAAAGCAAAACGGGGAACAGAAAACCAGGAAAGCCATACATCTCTGTGCCATCTGATAAACATCAGTGTGCTACAAACGATAGGCAAACAAATGTTTGGCATTTTACAATGTTAAGATTTCACACAATGGTGGGGGTAGGGAGCAGGAAAAGTCATCATTGCTGGCATAGAATCACAGAATTCTAGAGTTGGAAGGTACAGCAAGTGGCATCTAGTCTGACCTTATGGTTTTACCAAGTGTGCCAATACCTCCCTCTTGTGCATAGGTGGTGTAATTTTGGCTGCATGAGACGTTCATTCCTGGAAATTGGAAATAGAGGGAACATAGGATGCTGCCTTGTACTACCAGCAGTCTGTCTAGCTTAGCATTGTCTACACAGACTGGCAGCAGCTCGCCAGAGTTTCAGAAAGGGGGTCTTTCCCAGTCCCACCTGCATATGCTGGAGGTTGAACTTGGGATGTTCAACATGCACAGCAGATGCTCTGTCACTGTGCTATGGCTCCTCCCAATGGGTCCCTGGAACAAAATGTGTTATTTGTTTCTTGAAGGAGCCTTCAGAGTTTGCCCTTTTCAAACAGGGGACTGCTTAGAGTGAGTGGGTGGGTGGGTGCTGGATGACAAGAAAGCAAGAAAGCAGTTGGGTTCCTTCATATATATGTATATATGTGTGTGTATGTGTGCACGCACGCACACAAGCTTGTGGGGTCAGTCTGGGTGATACTCTGGTTCCTTTCGATTCTTGGGTTTCTTCATCTCTGGGCATAGAGGTATATAAAACCAAGCTTGCCAAACCAGTTCCTTTTTCAAGGAAATGGCTTTGGTTCTGTGTGCCAAATGGGCGAGGGCTTTCCCCACCCATCTCATCTGGCTGGTATGTAGAAGGATAGCCAAGCTGTGGGCAGTGAGCTGGAAAGAAGATAAAGCAGAAGAGAGAGAGAGAGACGTGTTTGCTCTTTGCTGGATTTTGGGGCTTCCCTGAAAGCAAGGGGAAGCAAGATCTATGAGGGTGTTAATGCTGTGAGCCCTTCCATCCTATGCTCAGGTTGTGTTCAAATAAAATATCTTAAAAGACAGCAGAGTCTCAGCTGACTTTCATTCCAAAGAAACAGAACCCTGGGTAAGTGTTGGAACCCCTAGAGTCTCTCAGTGCTCAGAGAGTGGTGATGTGCATCCAGTTTTTCCAGATTTTTTTCTTTTCACAGCCAGCATTCTCAGTTCACTAGTCAAGCATAGTCTTCATTGGACTGCTTTGTGGGGTTTCCCTCCCCCTCCTTTAGAGTTTTTCTAAACACTGTTTTTTGTACTTCTGCACACCTCACTGCCCTAAGGATGGTGGTGTGCTGCTCTCATGTCTGGTTGCTTGATACTGTTTTGGCTACTTAAGCAACAACACTTGGGGAATTCAATCGGAATTAGCATGCAGAAAGATGGTGGTGGTGATATCTCCTTCAAGTTAGACTCTCTTCCTTCAAAACTGGTCATACTCCATACATAAATGTGTCCTGGTAAAGCAGACAAAATCCCACTCTTTAATCACCTTGATTTTGTGAAGTAAAGGGTGGTATATACAAAAATCAATTATGTCACCAAAAGAGAGGTCCATTGTGATCTGGTTCCGAAGCAGCCCATTTGCCATTTCAGCACTTGGGAAACTCCATTAAAACATTCAGGTTTTAATGACTTTCTGAGTGACTCAAAAATCCCACAGCAATCAAAATAAATGTCACTGTGTGCTGGAGCCATATTCTGTAGGTCACAAGCAGAGACTGTCTATAGCAGAGGCCATGTTCTGTCACAGAAAGTTGCTTATCTGCAGTTATGTAAGAAATCTGCTGCAGAAGATCCAGACCTGCAGCTTTAAAGATGAGTGCCTGGAAGTAAATAACTCCTTGTCAGCAATGCCAGCTCGAGACATTTTGCTGCCTGGTAAAGGACAAGATGACACCCTTCTCCCATTCCAGAAGCTGACTGGTCTGGCAGCTGAATCTGATTTCAAGTGCTGGCGACAGGACAATGCCCTCCACTGCACTTGAGGCAGCAGACTAGCCCAAGGTAAGCTGCAGGGCATACAGGCAGCTCTGACTTGCCACGTCTCTCTGTCCCACAGCCTCTGCCGCCTGAGACAGCTGCGTTACCCTACCCAATGGTAGGACCGGCCCTGCTTGTCAGAGCATACAGGGGGACAGACTTGGAAAGGGCAGTAGGGGAAGATAACCCAAAAGAGCAATTTTGCATAAATTACTCCTGTCCCACATACTTGTGGTCCTCTGGTAGTCACTTGCCTATATTCCCAGATATTAACCTTATCCCTGCATACTGGAATGTAGGAAGGGCGAAGTCACATCACTGGTGTATCTAGTTTAGTATTGTCTCTTTTCAGCGCTAAATGCCGAGATGAATTCCCCAAATACACTTTTCCAAAATAGTTTATATTTACTACATTAGGTCTACTTAGTATGATCTTCTTTTGTATGTTCTCTCTCTGTGTGTGCAATACATACAAAATTTAGAAATAGAATTGAAGAGCGGGAAGGGACCTTGAGAGTCATCTAGTCCAACCCCCTGTAATGCAAAAATATTTTTGCCCAACGTGGGGCTTGAACCCCCCAAGACCCTGAGATTAAGAGTTTCATGCTGTACTGACTGGGCTTTTAGTATGTGCATGCAGCTATATAAATTGAACTATTATTATTATTATTATTATTTCTATACTGCTTTATATTTAAAGAAAAAACCGGTTTACATAAAATAAAACAATCCAGAATATAACAAAGTCAAGCTTCAAGAATATTTCAGATCCTTCTCTGTGATATATGGCTTTCCCCATATTTTTTTACCTTCTTAATTTACATAGCTGCCCCATAGCAGAAGTACTCTAGGAAGCCAGTATGGTGTAGTGATTATAGAGTGTCAGACTAGGACCTGGGAGATCAGGGTTCAAATCCCCACTCAGTCATGAAGCTCACTGGGTGACCTTGGGCCAGCCACAGCCTCTTAAGCTACCTCATAGGGTTGTTGTACCCGACCAGAAAAGCCATTTTAGGCCGCATCTGCACTATACATTTAAAACAGCATCTTGCCGCCTTTAACAGTTATAGTTCCCTCAAAGAATCCTGGGCACTACGGTTTGTAAAGGGTGCTGAAAGTTGTTAGGAGACCCTTATTCCCTCACAGAGCTACAGTTATCAAAGTTCCCTCAGAAGAGGGATTGATCATTAAACCACTCTGTAAATTATAGCTCCACACCCTTAACCAACTGCAGCTCCCAGGTTTTTTTTGGAGGGGGGCAGGAGAGCCAAAACTATTGAAAATGCTTGCTACTGCTCTGACTATATACTGAGGATATGGGCTTAGTCCATTGTCTGATGACATCACTGCTGAGTTAATAATTCTGCTGATGCAAGCCTCCTGTGATCTTCATCACAAATGTGACAATAACTTGGCTGTTTCAACAACTCTTAACAATGAGGATGGCTTACAGAGAAAAGAGACTTCAGACAAAACCTGTTTTAATAATAAGGTAATCTCATCTATTTAGATACATTCTGCATGTGAATGTGGCTAAGACAATGCACAGGTAGATACCAATGTAAATAATTCTTACCATGTACCATAATCATCCCATTGAAAACAGAAGGAGCTTACAAAATATACACTAAAACTGTTTAATCAGCTGAAAACCTCAAGGTAAAAAACAAGTAACATGATTCAGTCGTTATTTGAAAATAAACTGTGATAATTTTTCTCATTGCAAAAGACCAGAGAAAGTTTCTCGGTTCTATTTCTGGGTTCATCAGGCTGCTTGACATACATAGGCTACTTCATGAATAAGTTTTGGATATTTTTCAGGAACCAACCTGTCTTCTGAATTATTATTGTGGCTTACAATTTAATAGAGTGTAGCTTAATTTATTTCCCATTGAAATACGGAGATTACAAAGTTGAACATAATGTGGCAAAACGTTTCCTTTTCCTGGTCTACGCACCCAGTAGGTTATAAGGTCTAAAAATGTCCTGCAGTGTAAGTATGGTAATTCTTTGACATATATTATTAGTCACTCAAGAAATTCTTCAAAATTTGGTCCTTCCTTCTGGAAATGTACTAAAAACCAACCAACCATCTTTTGGTTATCTTAAAGGAGGCTCATCAGGTGCATTCATTACATATATTTAGGGACCAGGCAAAATCTTTTCTCTTCTCCCAAGGATCACAAGGCAGTTAACAATATAAAAACACAAAAATATATAACATAGTAACAAATGAAACAATACACCCCTCCCCCAGTTTAAAAGGCCATAGATTGTTAAATAGGCAAAGACCTGGGAGAAGAAATGTTAAAATGGAACATATTCCTTGCTGTCGTTTGCCAAGTAATGTTTAGTACACACAAGTTATGCAGCTTTGAGTTCTGATGTTTCATTAATGACTAATTATGAATTCATTAACATCATGTCATGACACCATGAGCCAGACAATTAAAATGATAAAGTGGTTGTTTTTCTCTTTGAACATGAATTTTGCAAACTTTTCTTTAAAAAATGGATATACCGTACATTGGAGATTTCATGCATTCCAAAGTAATTAGGGACATCATTGGCTTAGGTACAGATGAGATGAATACAGACTTTACTATGTGTTTGCCACACATCTACTATGCATTTGTCACACATATGCACCTGATGTGTGATAAAGTCTTCCCTACCACTCCCAACCAAACCACCCAGTGAGAAAGCTCATTCCAGGATAGTTTGCTCGTAGACTTTGTGTGGACTTTGGATGCGAGTCAAAAAGTGGATCATAAATCCACTATTTATGTGATTTAATCCTTAGTATAGATGTAATGTTCATTGCTGTATTGACCAAATGCTTTTGAAAGATCATGTTGAAATAAATTAAGAACCATTAATTAAATTACATTCATTATATAAAGATTTTGCATTACAGTATTCTTGTCTCCTGCTTTTGTAAAATGGCTTACCATAAGCAACACTTGATCATCTACCAAACATTACATATCTATCTTTTTCAGAAATATATTCTTAGTGGCTGTGGTTGTTTATGTTTGTATTTTTGGAAGGAAGCCATTCTGAAAATAACTACTTTTTCAGTTTTCTCCCCAACCTCCCTGTTTTGCTTAGCCCTTAAACGGAAGGACATCATGAACAATGAATAAAGAGCAATGAAGATTTTCTGCAAATGGTGGTGGAGGAAAATCTGACTCCTACTGAACATCTGTGTGATTGGCAAGTCAAAACACCAATGCACTCCCCTCTTAGGAACAATGGAGAAACCTACTAAGCAGCAGATACACAAAATTGAATCCCAGGTAGGTGGGGGGCGGGATTGTTTTCTGTTAAATGGCACAAATTATTTCTGAAGATGTACTAACAACATAAAAATATGCTGTCTTTGAAAGAGATTTATTGTTGCTGTATGACAAATAGCCAGACACAGATGCTGTATTGGTCCTCTTAAAACTTTTGTTTAGAGTGTATACAGTACTTTACAAAGAGGACATTAACATGCTATCTCTCCTCCAGTAATTTATGTTGCTCCAAACTAGTCTTTGTTATTGAGCAGAGCTGCTCAGATGTGTGTACACAGTTCTCAGACTTAAGGGCTGTCACACGGAAGAATGAACATGCTTGTTTTCTGCTGGTCTGGAGAGTAGGACTCATAGCAGTGGCTTCGAGTTACAAGAAAGGAGATTCTGACTAAACATGCGGGGAAACTTTCTGACGGTAAGAGCTGTTTGGCAGTGGAACAGACTCCTATGTGAGGTGGTGAACTCTCCTTCCCTGCAGGTTTTTAAGCAGAGGTTGGATGGTCATCTGTCATGGATGCTTTAGCTGAGATTCCTTCATTGCAGGGGGTTGGACTAGATGACCCAGGGCACTCTCTTCCAACTCTTAGATTCCATGATTCTATGATTTTCTCTTCAGAAAAGTAGCTCTCTTCTCTGCATAGTGTGAGGGCACCTGGGTGCACAACAGACCCCACACAGAACTATGCATCTGGGAGATATTGAGCTTCATTAGATGTCTAGACTAGAGGTTCTAGTGTTCTGAGAGAGGGAGCAAAAAATAAATAATTTCTCCACTTTCTCCATGCCATGCATAGTTTTATAAATTTCTATCATGTCACGTCTCACTTGCCTTTTCTCTAAACTAAAAAGTCTCAGTTGCTGCAAACTTCCCTCATAAAGGAGCTGCTCCATCCCCTTAATCCTAGCTCTCTGCCTGGTTCCCTGTAACCTCACTTCTCACAGGGAGGGAACCGCCAGAAGGTCCTCGGAGCTGGACCTCAGTGTCCAGGCTGAATGATGAAGATGCCAGTATTCAGCAGCTGTGAAAAAGCTGAATTCCATGCTAGGGATTGTCAAGAAAGGAACCGGAAATAAAACTGCCAATATCATGGCATTAAACAAAAATGTGTACGGTTCTAGATGCCACACCTCAAAAAGGATATTACGGTATAGAGCTGGTAAAGGTTGAGAAAAGAACAACCAAAATGGTTAAGGGGATGGAGCTTGTCTGAAGAGAGGATGGAGTAGGGTGTGTTGAGTGCGCGCGCACAAATGCTAACCTACAGTACAAAGGCTAACTTTATATTCACTACTGCAACCACTTTTGCCTCTAGCCACAACTACCCAGTGGTCTATGGCCTATGGCATGTTGCCTAGAAGGGAATATAGCCCCTGGGCTGAAATAGATTCCCAACTCCTGCTTCATAGACTACTCCTTGACCCAAGCCCATTGGGTGATTTATATATATAAAAAAATAGTTTAGAATTTAAAAGTAATATGAATTCTGGAAAGTGCCACAGACTGTTGGGAAGGGGTACCATAATGTGATCAGCGAGACAGGAGAATAGCAGTGGAAACATATGTTTGTTCCAGGAGAGGGGTATGAGAATGTGGTAGAAAAAGAAGAAATGAGGCAGCAGAGATGTGG